ATTCAAAGAAGAATATAAAAACATTTGAACTACTTTTCAATACAAAATTAAATTATTATTAAGAAGTTTTAGATTGAAAGCATCGACACGACGCGTTTCGACCTTGCTTAAGGGTCATCGTCAGGTATCTTTACAATCTATAGTACATATATCTAGAACCCTCCAAATACTGAAGAAGTAATAGATAATACCGTACTACAAAAGTTAATTTAGAACTCAAAGACTTGAAATGCAAAGCATCACACGACGCGTTTCTTCCTTGCTTAATGGACTCATTAGTGTTGTTAGAAAGGAAATGTCTGATGATGAGAAAGTCCTTTCGCCTTCACCCACAATATTGCGATATGCTGTATGAGTATGAAGTGAGCGGGCAACAGGTAGAATATGAAGTGGAGTAATTCTACAAAGATGAGAGAGAAACAATTACATATCAAACAATGTTACAGATGAATATTGTTTGATACTGAAATATGATCTTATGATCACTCAGATGTCTGTAAAAGTCTGTTATAGTGTATATTCACATCTCCTGTGTCCTATGTCCCACGTCCGATCTGTCTGGCGAGTAACATTGCTATCTTAGTCAATCGAACTGTTATATTCAATAATTTTTCTCTATGACCATTTGAGAAACCTATACTAATATAAAACACCACAAGATGGCGATTTGAATCTCGCTTAATGGTCTCCTCCTCAGAGTGTTTAGTGCTATGTGCACAGTTAGAATTGTTCTTAGATGAAATGAAAAACAAAAGTGTAAAAATTATTCACCGGCAATTGTGATAGTGGTGGGGGTACCGGAACGAGTTTTGACTTGAGTTTTAGTCACCTCGTTTGGTACATGCTGCAAACCATTGCAGTTGAGAATTCCATGTGATACGAATATCACATTGGAATATGTCGGTTGGAGGTATATATATTGAAATTCGTTTCTGAGAAATAAATCGGTGAATGAGTAGTGATCACTCCGAACAACCAATCAGATTATAGGTACGAAGTGTTTGGTGGTGTCAACTATCATAATATAGTTTCCAAAATGTATGATATGAAAGATTTTCGACATTGAGATGGTCATCAGTCATCGATAGAACTTTTATCACTGATCTCATCGAGCATCTACTTTGATGTCATTGTAGATATGTTGGAACTCTGTCTCTCTGAATTATTAATGTAGTGAAAATATTAGAGTCACTTGTACAAATTTTAGAGAATTCTCGTACACGAAAGCGACTTGAAGTGACATTTCAAATTTCAAATTTTTAATTTATACTTGCAATATTCAATGGTTGATTGTTTCAGTTTCTATCTGTATTACTCTTATTGCTTCAGTTCTGATAAAGTAGTTTTGAGATTCAGTATGCGTCGCCTCGTATGGAACACATTTCGTCGCATCCACAGCAGCTGTGATGATGTTTTATATGTGAGATTGTATGATTTACTGTTTTTTTTTACGAAGATGCTTTGCATGTGAAAGTTTTAAGTTTATACTGGAATTCTAGTTTGAAATATAACACTTAGACTATGATATTTGATATGTTTTTTTTTTGGAGAGATTAACTGCAAATATAATCTGAAGATTTGAATACATGCTGGTTATCCATGTCTCAATTACAATATCTATACAATATCTACCTGTGTATGCATCAATATCAAAGCATGTA